AATGAAGAATCCCATATCCAGCAAAATTAAGCTTCAGATTTGAAGATGAAATATAAAAACTCCCATGATAAACAAAAGTTAAAAGAACTCACAACTAGAAAGCCTGCACTATAGAATATTCACAACAAAATATTACATGAAGGTGAAATGAAAAAATAAACTGAAAAACACCAAAGAGAAGAACTACACTAAAGGAATAGTTGGGCTGGGGATGTAGCTCAGTTGGTAGAGTGCTTGATTTGCATGCATAAGGCACTGAGTTCGATCCTCAACATCACATAAAAATAAATAAATAAATAAATATTTATTAAAAAATAAAAAATAAAGGAATAGTCAATCAAAGGAGAAATTGATTCATATTAAAAACTAGAAATAAACCAAAATGACCAGGAATACAATCACATCTCAATTATAACCTTGAATGTTAATGGCCTAAAGTCAACAATCATAAGACACAGACTGACAGATTGGATTTAAAAATTAGACCCAACAATATATTGTCTCCAAGAGACTCACCTCATAGGGAAAGTCAGCCACAGACTGAATGTGAAAGGATGGGGAAAAGCATATCACTCACATAGATTGCAGGGTTTTCTATCCTATATCAGCAAATTAAAGTGGACTTCAAGCCAAAATTAATCAGAAGGGACAAAGAAGGACATTTTGTGATGCTTAAGAAATTCATACATCAGCAAGACAAAACAATAATAAATATTTATTGCCTAAGCAATGGAGCTTCTACATACATAAAAGAAAACCCTTCTCAATTTGAAGAATCAAATAGACCATATCACAAACATACTAGGTGACTTTAACACACCTCTTTCACTACTGGGTAGACTCTCCAAACAAAAACTAAACAAAGAAACTACAGAATTAAAAAATATAATCAATAATTTACACTTAACAGACATGTAGAATATTTCATCCATCAATGAACAAATACACTTTCTTCTCAGCAACACATGGATCCTTCTCTAAGGACCATAAGACCATATCGTAGGCCACAAAGCAACTCTTAGCAAATAAAAAAAAATAGAGATAATACCTTGCATTCTATCAGGTCATAATGGAATGAAATTAGAAATCAATGATAGAATAAAAAGCAGAAGCTACTCTAACATCTGGAGACTAAATAATATGCCAGTGATTGATGAATGGATAGAAGCAGAAATCAGGGATGTAATAAAAAATACTTAGAGGTAAATGATAATAGTGACACAACGTATCAAACTCTATGGGACACTATGAAGGCAGTGCTAAAGGGAAAGTTCACGACATTGAGCTCATTCATTAAAAGAATAAAAATCAACAAATAAATGACCTAACATTATATCTCAAAGCCTAGAAAAAGAATCAATCAAAAGCAGTAGAAGACAGGAAATAATTAAAATCACAGCTGAAATCAATGAAATTGAAACAAAAGAAACAATTCAAAAAATTGACAAAACAAAAAGTTAGTTATTTGAAAAAATAAATGAAATTGATAACCTCCTAGCCAAGCTAGCAAATAGAAAGAGAGAGAAAACTCAAATTAGTAAAATTTGTGATGAAAAAGGAAATATTATGCTGGACACTACTGAAATACAGAAGATAATCAGAAATTATTTTGAAAATTTATAACTCCAATAAAATAGAAAAATCTTTAAGACATCAACAAATTTCTAGAGACATATGACCTACCCAAACTGAATCAGGGGGACATATACAATTTAAACAGAATTGATTTCAAGCAATGAAATAGAAGACACCATCAAAAGCCTACCACTAACCAAGAAAAGCTTAGGACCAGAGAGATTCTCAGCTGAGTTCTACAAGACCTTCAAAGAAGAATTAACACCAATATGTCTCAAATTATTCCATGAAATAGAAAAGGACAGAACCCTTCCAAACTCATTCTATGAAGCTAGTATCACCCTTATACCAAAATCAGACAGACACGTCAAGGAACGAAAACTTCAGATCAATATCCCTGATGAAAACAGATGCAAAAATTCTCAATAAAGTTCTGGCAAATTGCATATAAAAAACATTAAAAAGTAGTGCCCCATGATCAAGTAGGGTTCATCCCAGGGGCAAGGTTGGTTCAACATACAGAAATCAATAAACGTCATTCATTACATCAATAGACTTGAAAACAAGAATCATATGATCATCTCAATAGATGCAGAAAAACCATTTGCCAAAAGCATGTTCGAAACACCAGAAAAACTAGGGATACTAGGAACATATCTCAACATTGTGAAAGTTATATATGGTAAACCCAAGGCCAACATCATTCTAAATGAATTAAAATTAAAAATATTCCCTCTAAGAAATGGAACAAGACAAGGATGCCCTCTTTCACCACTTTTATTCAACATTGTCCTTGAAATTCTAGCCAGAGAAATTATACAGAAGAAAAGAAATTAAAGGGACACAAATAGGAAAACAAGTACTCAAACTGTCACTATTTTCCAAAGACATGATTTTTTTTTATTTAGAAGAGGCAAAAAATTCCACCAGAAAACTTCTAAACTAATAAATTAATTCAGCAAAGTAGGAGGATATAAAATCAATACCCATAAATCAAATGTGTTCCTATACATCAGCAATGAATCCACTGAAAGAGAAATTACCTCATTCACAATAGCATCAAAAAAATATTTGGAATCAATCAAACAGGTGAAAGACCTCTACAAAGAGGTGAAAAACCTCTAAAAGTGGTGACAACCTCCAAAGAGGTAAAAGATCTCTACAATGAATCTACAGAACACTAAAAAAAGAAGTAGAAGACGACCCTAGAAGATAGAAAGATCTCCCATGCTCTTGGATAGACAGAATTATCATTGTTCAAATGGCCATGCTACCCAAAGTGTTATACAGATTTCATGCAATTCCTAATAAAATCCCGATGACATTCACTGAACTGCTTGCAGAACTTGCCTGGACTATGTATCACTTGTATGCATTGTGAACTCACTTGTATGCATTGTGAACTATCTGTTGGTGCAGCGACTTGTGGTAGTGTTGGGGTATTTTTGCTGATGGTGTCATCGGTGGTACAATTTTTCCAAAAGGAGCTGTCAATTGGCTTGGTGTATCTTCCTCCCTTCTGCTTGTCATGGTCGTTCAGCTAAAATTTGGGGGCCAACAGAAGTGAGGCAAAGAACTTTATCCCCCCGCCCACCGCTGGTACAAAGACCTATCCACAGGTGTGGCTGTATGCTGGACCGGTAGTCAATGACAGGTAAGATCCAATTGCAATGGTACCAACCTAAGACAGGAGGCTGATGCCTTGAGGTCAGCTCATCTGATGACAGGTAAGGACCATATGTAGTATTGGACAACCTAAGGCAGGCACGGTCCATAAGCCACATGCTTGTTGTTTAAACAGAGAAGGGGAGATGTTGAGAGCCACAGCCAAAGGGGCCCCAGCAAACTTCCAGCTGCCAGCAAACATCCAGCTGCCAGCTGATGATTGGCTCACAGCGGCCCCAGCAAACTTCTAGCTGCCAACTGATTGGCTCCTCTGCGGTGATGCTCATTGGACTGTTTCTCCGCCCTTTCAGATCACAGAGCTGCCCATTGGGGGACTCTTTTTGGCTCCGCCCACACGACCCAGCCAATGGGCCTCAAGAGCAGGAGGAGTGGGGGAGGTTGAGAGGCTTGTGGGAAGCTGGTGGTGGCAGTTGGGCTCTGAGGGTTTTTCCTGAGGAGCTGTGTGGTGTGGTCTAAAAATAAAGTTCATTTCTTTTGACAAGTGGCTCCTGAATTGTGCCCAGCCAGACTGCGGCAGGTGAGGATGTTGGGGAAAAGATATACGCACACATTGCTAATGGGACTGCAAACTTTTGCAACCAATATGGAAAGCAGTATGGAGATTCCTCAGAAAACTTGGAATGGAATCACCATTTGACCCAGTTATCCCATTCCTAAGTTTATATCCAAAGGACTTAAAATCAGCATACTATAGTGATGCAACTACATCAATGTTTACAGCAGCTCAAGTCACAATAGCTAAATTATGGAACCAATCTAGGTGCCCTTCAACAGATGAATGCATAAAGAAATTGTGGTATGGAATTTACTCAGCCTTAAAGAATGAGATTATGGCATTTGCCAGTAAACAGATGGAATTGGATATTATCATGCTAAGAGAAATAAGCCAATCCAAAAGAACCAAAGGCCGAATGTTTTCTCTGATACACAGATGGTAATTCACAATAAGGGAGGCAGAGAATAGAGATACTTTGGATTAGACAGAAGGGAGAAAAGGGCATATGGGGTTAGGAATGATAGTAGAATGAATCAGACATTATTACTCTATGCATATATATGATCCCTCGACCTGTGTAACTCTACATCATGTACAACCAGAAGAATGAGAAGTTATACTCCATTTATGTACAATGTACCAAAATGCATTCTATTGTCATGTATAACTAATTACAACAAATTAAAAACTGAGGGCTGGGGCTGGGGCTCAGCAGTACCACACTTACCTGGCATGTGTGAGGCACTAGGTTCGATTTTCAGCACCATATATAAAGAAATAAAATAAAGGTCTAAAAAAAACTGAAAAATTTTTCATTATAGAATGGATAAAACTGTGGTTGCCAGGGAAGAATCAATCTTATAATCTCAAATTCCTAAAAAGACTATCTAAGCAACTGCCATTCCAACACCCATCTAAGAGATATATGGGAACCACTGCTTATTATAATCTATATAAGAAAATATAGGTATATTTACTGCAAGTTCATGATAATATAAACGTTCTTCCTTAATCAGGACATATCATTGCTTTCAAACTAAGAGTAACTTTCTAGATGGGCCTCAAATGCTACTCAAAGCACAGAACTGGCGATGGAAGAAAAATCCACCTGCTAATCCTCTTAAAGGATGAGATCAAAGTAGTTTTTCTACTTTCAGACTATTTGTGAACCTCATGTGTGCTACTCCACCATATACCCTTGTACAGATCTATGAACTCATTTGAGCCAGGCATTATATCTCACCAGTATGGAAGTGTCAGTGGTCTGCTGAATACTGCCGCCCTTCAGCTCTGGGGTAGAAGCTTCAGCAACCATCATGACCCCATCCTCAGAAACTGTCTTCTTTAGACACTTTATATGAGCTCAGTCACTAGATGAAGAGCTGTCCAGGGGAAGAAAGAATTCAACAATTACTATTCTTTATGAGATAAATATTTGCCATGAACCATGCTAGCACTGGTCAGTGACAAATAGCACTTATATAATTGGATAGTAGTTGTAACAACCAGAAAGTGCAATGGACTTCTCACCATGGCCTGTTCCTTCTCTGTTCCTTGTCTATCATCCTGTAAAAATAAAATTGAAAAAGAATAAGAAGTGGCCTAAATTCATACGGGCATTTATGATCCTACAATACTACAGGGATATGGGCTTGCACTGTGTTTTATCACTGAAAGTACCAGTAATCCCTTGGGTGAGCATTTCTACCCCCATTTTACAGAGGAGAAGCTGAGTCACAGAGGACCCTTCCTGTCTCATCCTCCAGCACTTCTTTATATAGAAAGTAGGTCCAGGACACCTTGGGGCAGGACATCATGCTGCCTGAGGCCAGGAGGGTCCCACATCTCTCTTCCTCTCCAGTCAGTAGAGACACCAAGCCCCAGAGTAGGAACAAAACAACTCAGTTCTGGGATCCCTTCCTCTCCCCACAACCCAGTGAGGCTCAGTCCCCACCACAGGACACTCACACCCTATGCTGAGTTCAGAAAACTGGAGGCACAGCCCTGCTCTCCAACCAGAGCAAGTTTGTCTCCTTTTCAAAGGAGACAACAGTTTAATGTGATCACTGTCAATATGATGACATCATGTTTCTATGGCTACCATAATGTGCAGGTTGTTCCTATACTCTAGAAATGCCGTTCAAGCATTTTTTTTCCCCCTTCGGTCCCTAGGGCTTTCTCTAAAATCAAAACATCTTCAACCTTCAGGATACACGAGAAACCATACTAATTAGATAACAGAAGTGGGGATTGCGGGTTTGGGAACGCTCTGGCCAGGTTGTTGGAATAAAGCATATTTTGCTATCAGGAATTGTGTTGTCTTTAAAAATGACCTTAGGAGAATATCATTTGTCCATAGAAACCCAGGGACAGATGTCTCCTAGGGCTCTTGAAGTTGAGCTAGCCTTCAGAGGAGAACATGCAAAACTTACATACCATCCTATGCAATTAGCCATCTGTGGCAGAAAATGCAAGAGGCTGTCCGTAGTCATGGGACTAAATGAACTAGGAACACCCAAAATGCCATTTGAGTTATTGTAAGGAGGCATATCTACAATAATATAGACGTTTATTAGGGAAAAACCTATTCAATCTAACCATACAATAGTTTATTCTCAGGAATTCTTATCCTGCATTCCTGATATTTTCTCCAAATGGAAGAACATCCACGATAAAACACATCTAGCCTTAATACACACCTACTCCTGCTGCATAACAAGAATGACTTACATGATTGCTGACAGTGTAAAGAGAAACAGGGATCCCATAGGCCAGGCCTTCTTCCATCAAGCCTCTTGGTGATAGGGGACAGAAAGATGTGAGTGGTAAAAACAAGGTTAAGAAAATAATTCTATAAAATAGGTCCATGTGCTGACTTCCAAGTGCTTTTTTTCCAAGAAGCAATTTACCAGTAGCCCTGCCTGGTTTAAGTGATATGTCACATTCCTCAGCAAACTACTTGTTATCTGCAAAAGAAATGCAGACCTGAAATAATATCCATGAGAAGAACCCCAGTTACCCTGAAGGGGATTATTTTTGTGACTCTTTTAAAAGCCAGATCCTGGAATGCAGGGAGATGAAATAATTTAGCAACAAATGACATAATTTCATTCTTCCTTATGGCTAAGCATAACTCCATTGTGTGTGTGTGTGTGTGTGTGTGTGTGTGTGTGAGAGATATACACACATATAGATAGATAGATAGATAGATAGATAGATAGATAGATAGATAGATCAATCTCACATTTTCTTGATGGGCAGGCACCTAGTCTGGTTCTTTAACTTGGCTATGGTGGATTGTGCAGTTATAAATGTTGATATGCATGTGTCACTACAGTATGGTGATTTTAAATAATGAATAAATAACGAAGAATTTAGATAACTGGGTCATATGGTGTTTCCATTCCTAATCTTTTGAAGAATCTCTGTGCTGCTTTCCAAAGTTGTTATACTAATTTATAACCATATCAATGATGTAGTAGTCTATCATTTCCCCCAAATTATCACCAACAATTATCAGTATTTCTGTTGTTCATCATTGCTATTTTGACTAGGGTGAAATGAAATTTCAGTGTAGTTTTGATTTGCATTCTCCTGATTGTGCAACTCATTGTTTTGAAAAGTGGAAATACTACAAAAACAAAGAACTCATCCTATCTTCCTCTTCATCCCATACCCCAGTGGAACCGAATATTTGATGAGGGAAAAAAATTTTTATAGAAGATTCTAGTAAATGTATGCAGAAGAAATCAGAATTAGAACATCATCATTTTCACAAAATTTAATGAAATTCAGATCAAGGTAATGATCATCAGAGACCAGGGGGAACCTTGATGTGAAAGGAAGATGAAAAATTTTATAATGGATGGATGAAGCTGCCCACTCCTGAACCCTATAACCAATCTCAATACACAGGAGAGACACAGTGTGGCTCCTGATGCAATCCTACAAGAATACACACCCCTACATGTGAGGTCCCCTTGTGCAAACACTTGAGTCTAAAATAAAGTCTTAAACCTACATATCCATTTAGGTAAAATAGAAGGAGACAGAGGGATATAACAACCCAATACAGATTCAATCAGCAAAATCCAGAATTGAGTCTCCACAAGATAAGAATATTCTCAGCAAATAAATTGGAAGGTTAAATAAAAAAGCATGGACCTTATTTGGATTAAGAGACACTTAGAATAAGAAAGGATCACAAGTTCAAAGCCAGCCTCAGCAACTTAGTGAGGTACTAAGCAACTTAGTGAGACCCTGTCTCAAACTAAAAAATTAAAAAGGGCTGGGGATGAAGCTCAGTGGTTAAGTGCCTCTGGGTTCAATCTCTGGTACAAAAAAAAATAAATAAAAAGACAAATGAATAAATAGATACTTAATTCATCAGAGAGAGAATAAACACAAATTAAAACTAAAATCATATTGAGATATCACCATAAGTTCACTAGGAAAATAACAATGGAGTAGATGGAAAATACCAAGGGTTTGTAGGGCAGTGAAACAAGCAGAACTCTACACATGGCTGAAATATAGACTGGAATATAGATTTGAATAGAGTAGAGACTGGAATAATCACCTTGATCAATTGCTTGGTGGTATCCTCTGAGCTAAATGTACACATACACAGAAATGCCACTCAGGTACATGCTCAAGATAAATGAAATACATGTCCACTGAAACATACTATATGAAAGGAAAATGTAACTTTTCCTCTACCCATCTTGGGTTCATGGCTGAGATCCCTCAAACAGAAGATAATAAATGACAGATTATCAAGAGAAAAACATCCACAAGTATTAAATATATGTTTTACATGAAATGGGAGCCTTCATAAAGAAATGGAGACTCAGATAAAGGGTTAAATCTGATACTTTTATGAGAGGTTGGATGAAGAGTAGACAACTGTGGAGAAATGCGATAGAGGAAATGATCTAACATGAAGTAAACTGAGCAAGGCACCACTGGTCAGACTTTCTTCTGAGGCCCTTCACCTTCACAAATAAAGATGCTACTGTCCTCTGGGAATAGAGAGGGTACGTCTCACCTGAGGATTTTATTACCTGCTTCAGGGGAGAAAGGCAGAAGAAAGTGACAGCTTTCTGCTTCTATAATTTTCTCACATTCCTTCAGGTTAAAATAATCTGTTTGCCAATGAGCATTATTTTGAGTTTAGTGATTCCTGAACCAAATCAATACAAACAAGAATGTCCACAGGACCAAAATTCATAACAAGTCAAAAGTTGAAGAATACCCAAATCCTGACAAAAAGCTCCCAAATCTCTTGAAATCTTGAGAAATAATTCTTTTGTGTGCTAATGACATGATTGGTGGCTGAGAGCCCATGGATGGCTTCAGGTAGTCAGCTCTCCATCACTATAACACAAAATCTGAGATAATTAACTTTTAAGGAGAAATGGTTTATTTGACTCACAGTTTTCAAGGATCCAGTTGATGGCCTTGGTCCTATGGTAAGGCAACACATTATGGTGGGAACCTGTGACAGGATAAAACTGATTACATCATAAGCCAGAGAGAAAAGAGAAAGAAGAAGAGTCTGTGGTCCTACAATCCCTTTCAAAAGCATGCCCCATTGACCTAAGGACCACAAGACTCCACCTCCTCTAGGGCCTAACACCTCACAGTAGTTCCACTCTAAAGACAAAGACTTCAACATACGGGCATTTGGTTGGCACTTAAGATCCAAACTAGAGCAGCTAGTCATCCAGAAAGAACAAAGCATGATTAGAAGGGTTAGGAATTTTAGCCCCTCCCCCAACCCTTATGCAGGGGAAAAGCATTAAAAGTTAAGTTGATCATCAATAGACAATAATGTACTCAGTCATGCCTATGCAATGATGTCTTCCAAATACCCCCAGATCACAACAGAGTTCTGATGGGCTTCTTGGTTGAAAAATACATGAAAGTTTCTGGAGGCTGGTCCATCTGAGTAGGGTATGGAAATACTGTGCCCCTTTCCATATGCCTTGTTCTGTGCATCTCTTCAATTTGGCTGTTCTCCCGTAACCTTTGAAATGTCCTTTACAATGAATTGGTAAACATCAGTGAATTGTTTCTCAGTGTTCTGTGAATTGCTCTAGAAAATTATTCAAACACAAGGAAGGTTATTGAAACCCCAATTTATATTTCGTTGGTGTGACCTGTGCTTACAATTGACATCTGAAGTGAGGAGGGTGTAGACAGGTGGGCCTGAGCCACCAACCAGTGGGATCTAATGCTATATCAAGGTAAACAGTGTGAGAATTGAAAAGAATTAGCAAACACCTGACTGGTGTCTATTACAAAATCTGATACAAAATTGATTAAATATTGGTTGGGAGAAATCCCCACATAACTTGGTGCTCATAGATGCTGTGTTGAACATGAGAGCAGGAAAAATACACTTTTGGTTTTTTCCCCACCTCTCTCAGAATAATGTAAATATCACACACAATATAAAGAATGAATAAAGCCAGACACAAAAGATCACAGGCATTGGGCGTGGTGGTGCCCACCTGTAATCCCAGCAGCTCGGTTGGCTGAGGCAGGAGGATCGAAATTTCAAAGACAGCCTCAGAAAAACTGAGGCATTAAGCAACTCAGTGAGACCCTGTCTCTAAATAAAATACAAAATAGGGATAGGGATGTGGCTCAGTGTGTTAAATAGTGTCCCTGAGTTAAATACCAAAAAAAAAAAAAGTCTACATGCTATGATTTTAGGAATTTTCTCCTACCCTCTCAATAGAGTATGGGGAAGAAGAGGAACAACCACACACATTTTCCTTATTTAAAGAACTTAGGGTCCTCTTGTATTACCTGCAGGTTGAGATTAGAGGAACATGTACCCTCTAAGCCCTTAACAAGTGATTTATCATATACAGGAACAATGCTAATGGCATATTCAACAGACATATACATGTGAGAAAAAAACAGATATACCTGGACCACAGTGCCAATCCAATCCACAAACTCTAAGTGACCTTGCGTAAGACACCACATACCTTATCTGGCTCATCCATCACTGAGGGTCAGGCCATCCCTGCCTCCCAACCATGGAAGTATAGAGAGCAAAACTATGTGATTCCCAACTTAAAAATCACTGAGTTCATAAAGGGGAAATAATTCACTTTGGAGGTCCAAGGAATTACTGAACAGTCAGTTGTTTAATGCATATCTTTGAGGAGTGTTACTTTTAAAAATATTTGTTATCCTTTGTTTTTACAATTATTATCTTTTTATTTTCTCAAACACCATCTGCTTTAAGGCACAATAGCTACCCAAGCACCACATCCTCCCAAAGACATACATTCCTGACCCAATATTACCCAAAATAGGATGACAGAGTTCAACTGTGGTGTGTTTCTTCTTCCTGAGTGTGCTGGTTAGGATTTTAGCTCTGACTGCTACTTAAAAACTGCATAAGAGATCCCTAAAAAACAAAACAAAACAAAACTGCATGACTTTGAATATTTTTAGTAAACCTTGTAGTCACTATAATGCCTCCTCTGCAAACCTGGGATTATGTAGTACTTATCCTTAAGTACTTAAGACAAAATGTTTGAAAACAAACGTTACTTTCTGTTTTCTGTTTTATGAAAACGGATTGGGATGCCATTATTATTTTTTTTTAAATCTACTGCAAAGATTTTGCAACATCTGGCTCTGTGCTCTTGGGTCTGTACCTCAGGTTCCTCTTCTGTAATGAGGGGAAAACATTTGTCTTTACCTCATAGATTGTCACTTTGAGAATTACTTGAGGTAATACCTGAAAACCCTTAGAAGTGTGCTGGTTACAAGCTAAAAAAATGATCAATATCCTGAGCTGTTGCATAAATGCTTGCAAGTTGAGTTTCTATGGTTTTGATGGTTTTAGAGTTTGAATCTCTTTAATAAAGGGCAATAGACTTACAAGTGATTTTTTTCAATTTTTTTAGTTGTAGATGGGCACTATCTTTTTGTTTAAATTTATTTTGATGTGATACTGAGGATTGAACCCACTGCCTCACACACGCTATGCAAACATGCTACCACTGAGCTACAACCCCAACCATTACGTGAATCTATTTGTTAACTGACACATAATATTAAATCACTAAATAGCACTACAACTACTATTGGAAAACTGAACTAACTATTCTCAGAATATCAGGCACAAGGAGCAACTGATCTCAAAAAACAGAATCACAAGCCAGTCGGGATGGCACACACCTGTAATCCCAGTGACTCATGAGAATAAGGCAGGACAATTGCAAGGCCAAGGTTAGCTTCAGCAACTTAGGGAAATCCTGTCTCAAAATAAAAAAATATAAAGGATTAGGGTTGTGACTCAGTGGTAAAGAAGTTAAATCACCAGTACAAAAGAAAGGAAGAAAGGAAGCATGGATGAGGTACCACTATTCATATCTCCACATGACCAAATAAGACCGGTGTTCTTTGATTCTGTCTCATTCCTACCATACCCCCCATGCACAGCCACTACAGGTCCCTCCTGCCATACCTCAGGACACACCCTATCCAGGAGTATCCCTCCCTCTGCATATAGCTACAGCAGATCCCATCCCTCTCATAGACTTGGGCAATATTCTCCAAATGATTGTCACCGCAGGCTTTTTAATCTCTTTCTAATCCATTCACAGACTCACCTGAGAAAAAGAAACAGATCATGTCATGCCCATACTCACTCCACACTCAGAATAAAATCCATACTCCTTACTCAGCCCAAACCCTGTGGCTCCAGCTGCCCTCTCCACCTCACCTTTCACCAGTCTTCACATTGTCCACCAGGATCCAGCCACTGAGCTTTCACTCTGATCCTGGATCAACAGGTATCCACACAAAACACAGGGACAGAATGGCCTGTTCCATACCTGGCTTCCTCTTGGCATTTAGGACTCAATTCAAATGCCACTTTCTGAAAAGGAACTTCACTGACAACCCCATCTATCATGATCTCTGTCCAGGTTCTTTTCTACCTAAGTGTTTATTTAATTCAAAGCACGAATCTTGTATGAAATTACCCTTATTGATTTGTTTCCCTATTAGCAGTTTTCCCAAACTAAAATGACAGCTCCAGAGAGCCTGTTTCCCCAGAACCTATATTAGAGCCATGTATATAAATTACAGAATAACTATTGTTTAAAGTAAGGAAGTACTACATATTTGATGAACAGACAAGACACAGATATTTAAAGGTGAGTAGCAGCAGCAACTATTAATGGAATTAGACATTAAATGATTCAAAAGTTTAGCAGACATTTTTGGAAAGTCCACAGCATTGCTTTCAAAACCTGCATAAATACCAGAAGCAACTAGAGGAAAGATGATAATGTAGACCTGCCACCCCATCTCCATGGTTTTGCTTCAGCAGACTTAGGGTTGAACTAAACATCTGCTATTTTTTAACAAGAACTCTTCGATGTTCTTGATGAAGTAGTCAATGGCCACACTTTAAAGAAAGTCTGACCTCAAGAGCTGACATTTAAATACAATTGTTTTTTTAAATTTTTTTATTGTTTTCTATTTTACTTTATTTTTAATTTTTGGTATTTCATTTATTTATTCACTTATTTTTACAGTTAATATGATTGAACCCAGGAATTCTCTACTGAGACAGAAATTTGGGGATAAAAGTAAAGATACTGCGTTTCAAAAGAAGTACCCATAAACCATTGAAATGAGGAAAACAACAACAAACAATTGTAACTTCTGAGTGACATGCCCTTGGCCTGTGCCCTTGTAACATGTGGGCGATGCACAAGTACAGGGAAAACTGGCACAAAATTATGAAGTTCCACTCTGGCTCCACTGCTAGTCCACACCCTAGGAACTGTCCATATATGAATATTAACACCCTACACCAATGGGTAGTTGTCTCTCCCTCTGGAGACTGGCATGTGCAAAAATTCTTTTCAGTCATGAAGGCCAAGAACCCTGCTAGTCCTGACTCAAGATTCCCCTTCCTCTGGGAACTCCTAGGACCTATCTACAAAGACATGTCTTCTGCCATGACACTACTACTTAGCTGTACCCGCAGGGCTCTTTATTTTATTTTTATTTTGAGACAAGTATCTCACTAAGGTGCCCATTTAGCCTTCAACTTGATACCCCTGCCTCAGACTCCTAAGCAGCTGTGATTATATGCGTCCACGACCATGCCCATCTTAAGTGTCATTAATTTGGTGCCTACCATGAAATGTTCTGGAACATCTGGAGTGTCCCTGTTAATGAAATTATTGGGCAGTGCCCTGGTTTCTCTCTCCACCTGAGACCTCTGGCTGCTTTCTAACAAGCAACTATGGTTTCTAACTACAGCCCAACTTCAGAGTATTTCTGATGTTTGAGAATGTTGGGAATTGTTATCCTGTTGAACACACAAGTTTGGTGGAAGGGAAGTGACATACCTTTGTGTACCTATGACCTCTTCATTCTTGTTCCAGTAACCTCTCCAGCAGATTCCATAGCAAACTTGGTTCTTCTCCAAGAGCCCCTTGTTCTGGAGTACAGCATTCCCACCCTTCTCTGATGTTATACTCTAGAAGGGAGAGTAAAGGGAAATAAAGCACATGGGACATAGAGGAACATATGAGGATGGGAAAGCACATGAAACATGGGATCTGGTGGTGACAACCTGCCTGTTCCCACTCATTCAACTGAAGGCTGCACAACCCTCTTCCCAGTTCCATCCCACAACAAGAGAGACAGGCAAAATATTTGAACTCTGCTAAAGAAAACATATGAATGTCAAGTATGAAAAAAAATGCTCAACATCATTAATCATTAGCCAAAATAGGAGAAAAATTACAATGAGATACAAGTACCTTCCCAGGAGGATGGCCAAAATTAAAAAGACTGAGCATACCAATCACTGACAAGATTGTGGAGGATATACCTCTCACACACTGCTGCTGGCAATGCAAAAGGGTATAACCACGGCAGTCAGTTTGGCAGTTTCTTACCATGCTAATCTTATATCACAATATGATCCATTCATGTACTCCTAAACATTTGCCCTAGGGGTAAAAATCATATTTCCATGAAATTACTTATTCAAAAGTGCTGACAGTGGCTTTATTTACAAAAGCCCCAAATTGGAAATAACCAAAATATCCAACAACAGGTAAATGTATAAAACAGACTGTAGTATATCCAAATACTGGAATACTATTTGGCAATTAAAAAGAATGAATCATATTGGGAGAATAGCTCAGGGTTGGAGCACTTGTCTAACAAGTATTAGGTCCTGAGTTCAATCCCCAGCACTGTGAAAATAAATAAATAAATAAGAATGAACCATCAATAAACACAAGAAGATGGGTAAATCTAAAAATAAACAGGATGAGTTTAAGAAGCCAAATAAAAATCAAAAACACATTCATAATTCCATTTAAATATATTTCTGGAACATGAAACCTAATCTATAGCAACAGAAGAGCTTGGCTTGCCTGGGGACAGGACATTAGGTTTAGTATGAAAGTTAGGTACTATAGAACTTAAGATGTTATGTCCTGGGAAATAATAAGAATAATATTTAGATCTGCCTGGTTACTTTAAGGACCATAGCTCGGTATTATTATAATAGAGCAAATATATGGCATTATTTTTGAAAATACTAAGTTCTCATACTTGACATTTTAAATAACACTTGATTATTTCCTGGCTTCTTTAAAAATGTCATTAGTGAGTCAGTCTCAGTGTCCATTTGGGAGGCTCAGACAGGTGAATTCCAAGTTCCAGGACAGCCTGAACAACTTAGCCTGGTTCTAAGCAACTTAGTGAAACCCCATCTCAAAATAAAATAAAAATAAATAAACAAAAAGGGTGGAAAATGTGGCTCAGTAGCAAGGCACTCCTGGCTTCAATGTTCAAAACGGACAAAAACGCGGTGACCATGAAAAAATGCATGGTCATATTAAAATCTCAGATTGTAAAGACCACCATCAAACCAACTACATATTCTTCATCAATCTAAGAGACATGGGAATCACTATTAGGAAAGCAGGTGTTATCATTGAAGGTCCCCAAAGTCCTGTGGGTGAGCATTCCTACCCCATTTTACAGAGGACAAGCTGGGCTCACAGAGAGCTGTTCCCTGTCTTATCCTCTGGCCTTTACATGGAAAATAGGTCCAGGACACCCGGGAACAGGATATCATGCTGCCTTGGGCCCAGGAGAATCCACATCTCTCTCCATCTGGAATCAGCAGAGCACTCCCACGTCCCAGGAGGGTTCAACTCCCACAAATGACACCCACAACCTCCCCCAAATCCAACACCTGGAGGCTCAGTTCCGCCCTACAACCAGAACAAGTCAGTTTCCTTTAGAATGTCATCAGTCACCATAATGACATCAGGTTTCTATGGCAACTGTGATGCGCAGTTTGGTCCTCTGCACTAGAAATGCCTCTGCGAAAGCCTCCTCTTTGTCCCCTTGTCTTCTCTGAAATCAAAACACCTTCGCTCTTTAGGCCACCACCTGAGAAAGTGCACTAATTAGAGGAACTAGGATCAGACTCAGACAATGGGGACAACTCTGCCCACACCCTCAGATGAGTCCAGACACCTGAAGGTGAGGCTGTCGGCTCTTACCGCAGGTCATGGAAGTCTCTAATAAAAAGCCATCACAATCCCCAGGATGACGTCAGGTTACTATGGCAACCGAGAGTTCAGGCTGATTCAAGGAAATGGAAATGTTTCTTCTCGGCTCTTTGTTTTCCTCCATCTTATGTAAACGACATATTTCACATATGTGCATTTCTAACAATAAAGATAGTGTTTCCTCTTTAGGCCTCATATGTGGAAGCTAGAGCAAAATAATTAAGTTTTCAAGCTTTTGCTATTCAAATAGTGCAACACTCTAAAATCTAAAATGCAATATCTAAAATATCTAAATCTATTTGTGTCAGTGCCAGTGCAATATCTAAAATCTATTTGTGTCAGTGCCAGCATATCTTCAGGATATATATTTCTGAGTCATAGTGTAAGGGCATATGTTAAATTGATATGATTTATCAAATTTCTCATCATAATGATTATGTTAGTTTCCTATGACTCATGTAATAAATTACCATAAGCTTTGGGTCATTATAAACAGAAAGATTTTCTCATAGTTTTGGATGCTACAAGTCCAAAATTAGTTTTCCAGGGCCAAAATCCAAGTGTTGGCAGGGTTGTCCTCTTCTGGAGATAATTCCTTTGGTCTGTGGATGGCCCTCTTTCCACTCAGATTTAGTCACATTATAAATTTCTAAATATGTCTATGTCTGGGTAGTCTGTTCTGTTTCATTTATCTTTCTCTCAATTCATGTTCCAATAAAGTAAATATAAAAATAATTTTTATGTCATGTACACCTTTTGATTGGTGTACTTGAACCTGACCTCCTTCTGGAGATAATAAGCCTCCTTGCCTCTTTAAGCCTTCACTGACTTCTAGCCTTCCATTACTTGTGGCTGTATCACTCCAGTCTCTGCACCTTAATCCCATTACTATTCCCTCTTTTATCTGTGTCAATCCTTCCTCTGTTTCTCTCTTTCAAGGACACTTGCCAGTTACATTTAGGGTCCACCTAGATAATCTCCCGATTTCAAGATCATTATAAATTAGGATTTAAAGGTTCTAAGGATTAAGATCTGATATCATGTTGGGGTATGAAAATACAAGTTTCTCCACAGACTCACCAACTGTATGTATTGGCAAACATTGGATCTTTGCCAATATAACAGTTGAGAGGCTTAAGCCTCTGGTCCTTTGTTTAAAAACAAGTTATATTTTTTTCAGTTAATGGTATGTATTGTTGTGTATGTGATCCCTTCACCCCCTCCCCTACCCCCTACGGCACTGAGGATTGGAACTGGAAGCATCCTACCACTGAGATGCATTCTCAACCCTTTTTCTAAATTTTTATTTTGAGACAGGGTCTTAATATATTCCCCAGACTGGCCTGGAACTTGCAATTCTCATGCCTCAGCCTCCCAAATTGCTGAGATTAAGAGGTGCCCCACTGTGAATGACTGTTTATATTTCTTACATATCTTGGATAGGGTTGTTGCTTTTTTAATGCCTCTATATTGGTAAGAATTTATACAGAGTATATCATCATTATGTTGAAGATGTCTTCCTCAGTGTCATTTTAATAGGTGGTCATGTCTTTGCTATGCAGGTTTTGTCATTGCTAAGATCTTTTGGTGCAATATAATTGTACATAATGTTGGGACTCATTGTGATATATTGAAACATGCATATAACATAATTTGGTGAATTTCATTTTCCAGTCATAATTTTTTATTTAAAAATTTTTTTAGTTGTAGATGGACACAATACCTTTGTTTTATTTGCTTTTTATGTGGTACTAGAATCAAACCCAGTGCTTTGCATGTGCTAGGTGAGCACTCTACCATTGAGCCACAACCCCAGCCCTCCCAGTCACAAATTTTTTAATATCTTTATTTATTTTTTATGTGGTGCTGAGGCTCGAACCCAGTGCTTCATACCTTCACATGTACGAGGCAGGCACTTTACCACTGAACTACAGTCCCAGCCCCCAGTTATAATTTTTAAGGCATCAAACATATCAATCTTTGTACTTATTGCTCCTGGATTTGACTCATATTAAGGAACGTTGCCTCCTCTCATCAATTATACAGGAGTTCACCCACATTTTCTCCTAATAATTAAATATATTTTTCAGATTTAATTCAAAACTATTTGGATCTTACTGTAAAGTGAAACAAAAAGGTCTTTTTTATTGTTTTAGCTATATGATTTAGCTATATGATTTTCTAGCTAACACATTACCACTTCTTAAATCATCCATTATATCTCTAATGATTTTAAATGCTGCCTTAGTCACATTATAAATTTCTAAATATGTCTATATCTGATTAGTATATTCTGTTTCATTGATCTTTCTCTCAATTCATGCTCCATTAAAGTAAATGTAATTTTTCTGTCATGTACACCTTTTGCTTGGGCATAGAAAGAGAATGAACTTTCTGTCTGGAAGCCATAGGATTTCCCTTTCCACTCGGATTTGAAAAATCTGTTAGATTGGCCACAGCCCCATCCTCTCACTTTTCATGCCTGCATGTTCAAGTTGCAGTTCAGCATTCTGCCATGAGGTGTCACCAACATGTCAACATATAGAATGTCTGAAGATGTTTATGTAATGAGCAAAATATACAGTACCTTCTTTAAGATGCAGTTTATGAACTTGAGTAGAAAATAATTTTATTTGACAGAAAAACTGGTAGATGTAAAAGAAAACTGTAAGAATTTAAGCTTTGGAGCATCCATACAGTAAAACAGCAAGGCAGCCTTAGGGCACCTTGGCTGTCAGCAGCAAGCACCAGGCAGTCCAGGGCAGGTAGGAACAGGTAACAGAGGATGGGGCACCACATTGGGGTCTGTGAAGATGTTTCCATACTGTCTAGGAGAGGGGATGACTGAGAGGAGGTGAGAGAAGATCAGGGAAGCCTGTATGGGATGTGGTAACAGAGGGTTTTCCCCTCTGCTCTCTGAGGGACCCCTCTACTGTAT